GCCAGGACATGGAAGCAACCTAAGTGTCCATCAACAGATGAATGGATAAAGAAGATGTGGCACATATATACAATGGAATATTACTCAGCCATAAAAGGAAACGAAATTGAGTTATCTGTAGTGAGGTGGATGGACCTAGAGTCTGTCATACAGAGTGAAGTACGTCTGAAAGAGAAAAACAAATACCGGATGCTAACACATATATATGGAATCTAAAAAAGAAAAAGTGGTCCTGACGAACCTAGAGACAGCACAGGAATAAAGACGCAGACGTAGAGAATGAACCTGAGGCACGGGGAAGGGGAAGGGGAAGCTGGGACGAAGTGAGAGAGTGGCATGGACTTATATACACTACCAAATGTAAAATAGCTAGCTAGTGGGAAGCAGCCGCACAGCACAGGGAGATCAGCTCAGTGCTTTGTGACCACCTAGAGGGGTGGGATACGGAGGGTGGGAGGGAGACGCAAGAGGGAGGAGATATGGGGATACATGTTTATGTATAGCTGATTTACTATATTGGACAGCAGAAACTAACACACCATTGTAAAGCAATTATACTCCAATGAAGATGTTACAAATAAAAAAGAAAAGAAACTTGGTCCATGTTTTGTCCAGGGCAGAGAAATACAAAATAAACTTATTCCCAACAATCTATCCTCCTGCACAGCCTACTTTCCTACTTCCAAGACACAGAATTAAGACTAGTAATACTGTTACTAATAATATATTAAAGCAATTAATATTTACAGATACAAGCCACTCTAAGATCAACTATATCAAAGAAAAAAAGGCTTCTGAAGGCTGATTTTTAAGAATCTATAATTTTAACAATAAAGGCGTATACTAATCAATAGAAAATGTTAACGCGGTCCCAGTGGGAAATTTCTTCTGAGCTCCTAAAATCTGAATAATGAATTATTTAAGAACAATGTAGAACGCAGAATATTAAAACTGTGGAAAGAGCCTTAAAAGACACCCAAGAAAAATCCTTTTCATATATACTTTTGGGATTTGGATACGTGCCAGTTCACAAGTTCTATACAAGCAATACTCAGGTGACAAGAGAATACACACACACACACATTCATCTGCTAAAATATCAAGTTCACTTTGTTAACCAAGAAAACAAAAATAAAATCTAATGATGATCTTCAAAAGATGATGTGGAATCTTTTCCTTTATAATCATTGTAGAGATAATTAAAATCTGGATTTTAAATACGTATATCAGTTTTAATACCATATAACCTCTCCCATTGGGGGTCATCTCTCCATCTTTTGAATTGCCTGATCCTCGTATATGGATTAACTTGACTCCGTCTTCCCTGCATGTCTAAGCTCCTGAAGGGAAAGGGACAGAGCTTTACATCATTAACTCCCCTTGTGCTTATGTGCTGGACATAGGTGATTAGCGAATAAATGAATAAATATACAAATAAACAAATCAAGCAGTCAAATTATCAGTGGGTTCTAATATCCTCCTTGTAGCCACATAGGTTGAGTAACTTACGTCAAGCTGTTAGGATTTCTTACCTCCAGTGAGTGGTCTGGCAGGTTCTGGAGAAGAGGGCGTGGAGAAACACTCTTCTGAATATATTTGTATTTTACTTGAATTATCCAGAAGTACAATAATTAATCTTCAATTTTAAATACTTAAGGGATACATGTACACGTATGCCTACCTACTTGGTACAACAGTAAATCATACTTTCTCTTAAATGAAGAAATATTCAGAATATACAAAATGTTCTACACTGAATAAGAATATGTAAGTGCCTATAATTTGCTGGGCTTTGTTTTCGTAAAACATGTATGAAATAGTTTTAATTAATTCAACTGAAAATGGTATATCTGCTGATGACTTCAGTGAGATGTATCAATTACATCAAAATAAGATTATCACTTTCTCAAAAGGCTGCAAAACAAATCTGAAATTATAAAAGCAATTCCCTGCCTGGGGTTACAAATGAAGAAATATACAAAATACCTTCTACAGACAATTACTATAGCATTTTTGCCTGTAATTCTCCACCAATTAAAGTGATAATCCAGATAAACCCGCTACTGAAGCATGTCAATCACTTCTCCAAGCAGACACTACTATTCATGTCACCTTGTCCTTCAAAGCCAAGACCAAGCCTCATAATCCTTCCCAACTCAGAGACACAGGCAGTGACCACCAACAAACCCACCAAAGCCAGCACAGACCCCTCCTGCCATTTCTGTCCCAAGGATTAGTGCACCAAGACAGAGCAACACAGTGTCGTGAAGGCTGTAGGTTAGCACATTTCATCACAGACTGCGTGACATGAAGTACGTGAGCTACTGCTTCCCTATCAAGACACCCCCGCCAGTAGTGGTGAGCTCACAGAAACATCACACTTTAGAGACAACTCCTATAAACCCTCCCGCCCAATACTAGATGCTTTGTTAACCGGCAAAATGGATGAAAGAAATGAGTGGTAACTGGTGATATCGTCGGCTTGTTAATCAGAGTAATGGATGCCAGGAATGTTTCTCAGTTAAATTCATGGATTGGCTAAAATGTCACAGGGCCCTCCTACCCACGCATGAGTAGGCCATGTGCCATAGCTGGTACCCAGGGGTCATATCCAAGACTTGGTCCCTAAATGGTCCTATAAGAAACTGCAGGGCTGCGGGTTATCTAGTGGCCTGATGCTGCCCAGTTTCCAGAAATGAGCCCCGAGAATCCCGTCTGCCTCTACTAAACCTTTCAGATCAGGTACAGACAGTTAACTTAAAGGACAAGACCTGGGACTTCAGCTTACAGGTCTGATCTGTGGACGGTTCCCCATCTGCATGCCAATCATGTTTTATAATATCTCCGTGTCTGGAGACTTGCTTTCAGTAAGAGCTGGTAGACAGAGCTTGCAGAACAGGCCAAACTAGCCTTCATCAACCTCTACTGGCGACTATGATTCATCAAAGAGAACCTAATAATTGGACATGGCCAAACTGTTTAGATAAAGCACGTGTCTGTGCTGACATGCAATCCCATCATCCACAGCAAAGCCTCTCTCAGACCAAGGACCACAGTGAGGGCGTGGGTGTGGAAAGGATTTCCTTCTGCTCCTGCCGGTGGCCACGTGGCACCCATGGGACCACTCCAGCCACCTTTGTTACTGAGAAACGAGCATCAGCCAAGCTGTGCGCTAATTCAGGATGATGAATCGGCTTTACCTAGTTGACAGTGAAAACCGACCTCAGGTGGGCATCCGAAGAGCTGTGGTCAGCAATGCCACAGGGGGTGGAAAGCCATTTCCACACGTAAGTGACATCTAGCAGCTTTTACATACTTCCTGTCCTGCGGTGCCAGAAGTTAAAACAAGAAGATCTCCATTGTCGTGCTAATTTGATGTGGATGTATCTCCCACGGAGCAAGCTCCAGTTCCAGCAACGTTTTGCAGACCTTGAGGCAAGAGCAAAGGGGATTTACTCAAACCCCACACGACTGCACAGCGGAGGAGCTTCACCTGCTCCGGGAGGACCTGCTACAGGGCACACGCAGCGGACACTAATAAAAGCCTGTAGATCTTTCCTAGGCAACATGTGCTCGATGAAAACCGCCTGCTTTGGGAGTGGTAGGCTATCTGTGTGAAACGGCATTTTCAAAGGTGAAATACATAAAATCTTATTACACGTCAGCCTTAATAAACATTAGCGATCAATTTTGATGAGATCACTCAATCTGAACCCCAATTAAGTTATTCCTCCCCCAAAGTAGAATTCTACTCTCATTAGACTTGTATTACAAAAAACTTGTATTACAAAAAAGTTATACTCAACTTTCAGTTTAGCCGATAAAAATTTTGTAAAAATGTCTTTTTCTCATTGTATAACTACCTATGTACCTTGATTTTGCCTCCTGGTCCACAAAGTCTAAAATATTTACTATCTGACTCATTACAGAAAAATTTCATTGACTCCTGAAACATATTTTAAAATGAGGTAGACCTATTGCTCTGTTGATACTGATATAGAAACGACGTATTTTTCAAAAAAACAGATTTTAAGGCAATAGGATAATGTAATCCTACGTATGCGATAAAATCCCCCTAAACATCTTCTTGCACTTGTGTGTTTGTACACACACACACGCACTCACACAATGTCTGGAAGGAAACACAACTGCTGGCTGACTGCCTCTAGCAGACACTCCCAGGGTTACATCCAAAACAAAAATCACAACTGGTTACTCCCTGCTTGAAACCCGCCCGTGGCTCATCACACTTGAAAACAAAACAAAGCCACCCCAGGCTTGTCGGGGCCTCTCTGACTGTACTTCCTGCCCGTCTCGTCTCCCTCAGCCCAGAGAGCTGTCGCCATGGTGGCTTCCTTGCGGCGCCTGTGGGCATTTTCTACCTCAGGACATTTGCACTTGCTGCTTCCTCAGGCTGAAACATGATCCCCAGCCACAAGGTACCTCTTCTCCCATGCCCAGGCCTGTGAGCCAAGGTCACCTCCTCCGAGAGACCTTCCCTAACCTAACCAGCGCCCTTGTCTCACGCGGCGCACTACCTGGCATGATGCTGACGTACACCTGCTGTCCCCTCCTCCTCACTAGGATGTAACCTCTGGGGGGCAGGGGCGCTGCCTCCTTCTCTGCCGTCTCCCTGGGAACTAGAAGGGAACCCGGGACACGACAGGTGCACAAAACCCCTGTTAAACGAACTAACAAAAAGGGGTAGATGAGGAGAGTAGGACAGGATGATTTTACCCTTTTTAGCAGTTTCTCTTACACTGAGCATGTATTTGTGTATTTTTATGAAACTAGAGAATGAAAAGCTTAGAAAGAATACAATTATTGGTTAATATGATTTCAAAGGTTATTGTTTTTCTAAAAATCAGAAGTTTCTCCCTCCGTTCTTGTTCTGTTAACGTGTATCACTGAGTGTCTTTGTAACCTCTTCTCACAACCTTTGCTGCACACTATCTATCTTAGACACTGACAAGGGTGATGAGTAAAAGTGAACGGAAACAGAAATTGAAAAAAGACTTTTATTGCAACATAAAAGATTTGCAGAGGTACAACTTGGAGTACAGAGTGGGTTTCACCGCTTCGCAATTTCAGCATCTACGAAGGTCTAAGGTAGCCCGCAGGCCATGTGCTTTTACCTGGGGTGGGGGTGGGGCTCCCAGAGAGAGGTGGGATGCCAGGTGGACTGACTGTGGACCACCTAAGACATCGGTGGGTCTTTATTTTACCACCATAAAACAAAGACCTAGGTTTAGGCTAAACAATAGGTAAGTCTTTTCCTGTCCTAAATTCAATGATTTTCTCTCTCTTGGGATGACGTAAAACAAGACCAATCTACATGTCCTTACGTTAGGGAACACAGAATATCTGATTCCGTCTCTGAGATTCAGTTACGCCAGGGCCCTGCCTACAGCCCGTGATCCCTCACCACACGTGCCCCAGACCCCTCGGGGCCCTGGACGTGGCGGTGAGCCCCAGAGCAGGACCATCACACTGTGCACAGCTCTGGGGCTGCAGAGTGCTCACACCACCTGGAAGCAGATTTTTTTTTTTTTACTTGACTTATATTTGCATGTCATTAAGCATTATTCAAAAGCTGAAAGAATACACAAGATGAAAACTGAGAACGAGAATGTAAGCTTCAAGAACGGGATATTCTTAGCTACCAAAATAATTCCGTACACTCACTGTTTTATATTAATGTTAGGCTTGACATGATTTTAAAATAAATATTTTGAAAACACATACTAACCCTAATGGAACGTAAAATATAGTTTTATGTCAAATTTTATATATTTTATAAATATATAGTAAAGTTTTATATATATCAGAAAGCTCAGACATAAAAAGAAGGTTAATGATATACAAATTAAATTCTTTTACTGAGATGATTTTGGGGAGTTCATACCCAAGGAAAAGATATGCAATACATCCGTGATTATATTTCAATCCATATAACTTCTCCAACTTGGAAAGGGTGGTTAAAATGATTCAAGGAGTAGAGAAATAATGAAGAATAAACTTGGCCTTATCGAAATTTTAACCCAATCTTTAGGTGAAGGTGGTTTAAGTTCAAGATTTCTTCACTTTTGATTGCTGAAGCCTGTCTGTGCTTATCAGCAGAAAGCGCAAAATTGTTGCTACTTTTGCTATGACATAGTTCATTACTATGGTTACAACTAAATTACAGACAGGAATATATCTATTTAAATGACGTGCTTAAAGCAAATAAATAGAAATCTAATAAGGCCTGTTACAATGAACTATTTACTTAAACAAAATACTTAAAAAATTTCTTCATAGCTAAATTGCCCAGTTTCTTCAAAAATAAATATTAACTTGTTTCCAGATTTATTTATCTTAACAGAATGAATGGCTTACACGCCTCAATTTCCCTTCTAAAATAAACGGCCTCACCATTACAAACTGAGAGTTTTAAAAGACCTCCACTCACGTGTCTCTTTGCACAGTGATGCTGCAGTGACAGGCTGCACTGAAACAAGGAAAAGCGCTCACTCTAGTCCACTGCTCACACAACACATCCAGACATCACCTTTTCTTTTCACCTATAAGACTTAGAGAAATGTATTCCTAATAACAGGTTTGACCAAGGAACCTAGAAATTCCATGGGGCAGTAAGCTGTCTATTCCTCAAGAAGTTAAAGAATTTATCACTGTAAATATCAAACATACATTCTTTAAAGTTTAATAAAAGGGAAAAAAGGAAATTTTGATTATGAAAAAGTTGTGATAAACGTGGAAGATGGACGCACTACTACATATTCTTATAGTGGAGAGACCGGTAAAGGAGGTTCACATACTTTCACTGCATCCTCAGGGTAACTCTTCCATTGCCTCTGCAGACTCTTCCACATCCCAGTCGCCTACAAAGTTTAGCTTATCGTCACTTTGTGCTTCACCTTCAGGGGAATTCACCATTTTAGAAGGAGTATCTTCTTTCTGTGTGCTTTTTATGTCAATCCATCCTTTCACTTCTTTATTGCTTCCTTTTAAAGAAGTAAAATCACCTCGAAGTCCCTTCTGAGGACTGAGTCCGTTGAGGGTATGGGGAGAGTCACTCCCGCCCGGGCGGGTGTCTTCCCCTCCCCGAGCCTCGGCCCAGGGACAGTCCCCTGGGGTTCCTTCAGCAGCAGGCGTTTCCTTAGAAGTCACGCTGCTCAAGCCCGGATCAGCTCCGTAGTTTGCAGGCTTCTGGAGACGGAAGCCAGCCTTCACCGTTGAGTCGGTACCACCGGCTGACCTGGGGCTTCTGCCGATGCAGGAGAAGTCAGCCCTTTCCAGGAGGCTGGTCCTCTCTCTCCTGGAAAGGCTCCTCATGCAGTGGAGCAGGGCAGGGCCGGCGGGCGGCTGCATCCCGGGAAGGAGGCTCTCCGAGTCCCTCTCCTTGAGGTTATCGGGAGAAAAGTAATCATCGTATGAGGACTCCCCGCGGCCCAGAGTCTCCACGGCGGAGCTGCTGGCGCACTTCGGGCTGTTCTCCAGCTGTAGCCGGGGCGCGGGGGGCCACCTGAGGGACCGCCTCTTGCTCAGTCTCTCCTCCGGGGGTGGACTGGAGTTCGCCGACACCCTTCTTCTCGTGGCTGAGGGGCTCTGGGGACATGAAGGGCCCCCGGCGGGCTCCTTTGTTACAGATGGCGTAGGAGACAGGCCCCTCTTCTCATCAAACACCCCCTCAGCCGGCTCCCGTGCTGGCTTCACGTCGGGGGTGATGACTTGGCCCGCAGCAACCCCCTGCCGGTGGGTGTCTCCCTTGGAAAGACTGCCGGGGGACTGGTGAAGGGTTAACTGACCAAGGGAGCCGGGAGATGCTGGCGGACGGACACTTCTCGTTTTCAACACAGCTGAGGAAGCACACGCAGCGCTTTTACTTGCATCAAGGAATCCTCCCAATTTCCTCTGCTGAGTCCCACATCCAGAGCTCCCACAAAGATCATCAAAAGACAAGTGTAGAACACCAGCAAAGGAGTCCTCTGGAAAACATTAATAGAGAGCCAACTTTTTAATGGCTCACATTATCGCAAGACTAATTCTCAGTCCGCCCATAACGTGATAACGCGACCCTCCCTCAGCACGGCTCCTGCCTCAGAAGGGCGCCACCCACACCCGCTTCTCACTCCTGGCCAGCGTTTCTAACCAGGGGACCCGGGCTTCCCCGTGCGCGTGGAACAAGGTGGGGTCGGAGAGGGAGTGCTGCTCTGCACGTTCACACGCCCGGGCGCCTCGCTCCACGAACAGCGTCCGCACCCCGTCACTGAGGCCTCGAGGAGGCCAGGAGTCCGAGAATGAAGGACCACTGCGTTCAGGCTCTAGTCAACCACCATGAACTCGGCTGCCCAGACTCCCTGCTGCCTGCCAAAGGCCTCACTCTGTATTCATATTCCAGGAGCCGCCTGGCACATCTCAGGGCTCTGGCTCTCCACGCACCTTCCTACACGTTTCTTGAGGGTAACGCGAAGCTCTGCCCAGCTCCCGAAAGCTGCCTTTACACTTCCCCTGCTCCACGCTCTAACCTGGATAAACACTACCCTTCCTTCGAAACCCACCTCGGACGTCAGACCTCTGCAAATCCTCCCAGACTTCAACAGCTCTGCTCTCGCACATCCTCCTCTGCTACACAGAATTCCTTTAAGAGCATGTGTATCACCGCCCTGTGCTTATACTCCTATCTGCCCCCCTCCCTAGCCTAGAGGCCCCCAGCACAGACACTGCTTTCTGGAATCTGGAGCCGCTGGCCCAGCACTGGCTCCTCTGATAGGAGCTCGGCGCTTGCTGAACAGATGGAGGACCCCCAGTTTATAGGATCTCCACACCAGAGGCAACAGAGATGTCTTAACTTACTGACTGACACCACTAAGGCTCTACTTTTAAAGAGGGAGGAGAGGGGCAGCCCCCAGGGAGCAGAGAGGAGCCCAGCGGGCGGGTGGTGCTGCGTGTCTCTAAGTCAGCAGCTGGAAACATAGGACGTGTTTAATTTTAGCAGCTGAATAAGCTTAGCTCACTTTTCAAAAGGCTGGCAAGCAGCATGACACAGCATAAGAGAGTAAACTCTGAGGTCAGACTGCCTACTTCGAAGCCCGGCTCAGCCGCTCACAAATGGTGTGACCTCTTATGAGCTGTCTGACTTCTCGCTGGCCGGGCTTTCTCACCGGCAGGAGGGGGACAACGACGGGGCCTGCGTCACGGGGCTAACGGGACAATCAGACGAGATACAGACACGCGAGCAGCGCCCACAGCACAGCCAACGATGAAACTGAGCTAGTTACTGTTGTCACTTGTTTCCAACTTATAGGCAACACATGCATCAAGTATGAAATAAAAAGATGGCGATTACTTAAGATACGTGGGCAAATAATTTCAATACACACCAAAGAGATTAAAGAATAAACCATGCACAAAATGAAGCTTTTGTGAAAATAATTTTACCTGAACACAAAGAATCATGTGAAAGGTTCAAAGATGCTTCACACAGAGAGTTAACGGTGTTATCGTCAGACTTTTCAACGATCTGGGAAGCTGAAAACATAATCAAAACTCCTCATTAAATAACAACTCTGATCTCTGGTAGTAGATGAAGCCAATACTAGGTGCACTCATTCCACTCTTGTGGCACTGACACACCCACCCACCCACACACACACGACTTATTCCTAATACGTGCTATTCTAGAGTTCTTACTCAAATCCATTACAGACGATGAGAATCATTAAAATATAATTTATACAAATCATATCATAAAAAAGGCACAGAATCCTAGGATAATAAAAGTTGGAAGGGCTCTTGGAAAGTCGGTCGGCCTAGACCTAAGCAGAAGCTCGATACGGGTAGAGAACCTTTCAGTCAGTCTCACTTCTCAACGATCAAGGCTTTTCCCATGATGACCACAGACAGCTGCCTCTATGACCAGAGCGGTGGTTCTCCACCAGGGGCGGCCTGGCCCCTGCAGATGCTGCTGGACGTCGCGGGTGGGGCTGCGGTGGACAGTGAGCCATGCTGCCGGCATCTAGTGGGCAGGGGCCAGGGATGCTGTGGATCACTCTGCCAGGCACAGGATGGCCCCAGCAACAAAGAACCACGCAGTCCCAAGTGTCCGGAGGGCGGGGGCTTCACAGAAAAACATCCAGGAGATCAGCGATTCAACAGCTAAGGCCACAGGCATCACCTTCAAAGGCTGTGCATGCAACAGAGCACAGACAAGAGAGAGATCTCGGTCTCACGGTCAGAGATTTTTTTTTTAATTAATAATTAATTAATTTATTTAGTTAGTTTTGGCTCATTGGGTCTTTGTTGCTGCGCGCGGGCTTTCTCTAGTTGCAGCCAGCAGGGGCTACTCTTCGTTGCAGTGCGCGGGCTTCTCATTGCGGTGGCTTCTCTTGTTGTGGAGCACAGGCTCTAGGCGCACGGGCTTCAGTAGTTATGGCACGTGGGCTCAGTAGTTGTGGCCTGCGGGCTCTAGGGCACAGGCTCAGTAGTTGTGGCACATGGGCTTAGGCTCCGCGGCATGTGGGATCTTCCCAGACCAGGGTTCGAACACGTGTCCCCTGCGTTGGCAAGAGGATTCTTAATCACTGCACCACCAGGGAAGTCCCCAGAGATTTTTTTTTTTTTTTTTTTTGCAGTACGCCGGGCCTCTCACTGCTGTGGCCTCTCCCGTTGCGGAGCACAGGCTCCGGACGGACGCGCAGGCTCAGCGGCCATAGCTCACAGGCCCAGCCGCTCCATGGCACGTGGGATCCTCCCGGACCGGGGCACGAACCCGTGTCCCCTGCATCGGCAGGCGGACTCTCAACCACTGCGCCATCAGGGAAGCCCCCCCAGAGATGTTTTTTGAGGAGACTTAAAAGGATACACTTCTGAGAAAACTTGGGCGAACGATTAGAAAATGAGAATAAACCAAGATAAGAAAGGTAAGCACACAGATAACATTTTCAACTGCTGAATTTAAACTTAACTGCGGGAGGCTGTTACATAGCAGAATTAACACTGTAAAGTAGTGGAATAAAGTTCAAGGCAAATTAGTTTGCACACATATATAATGATTTGTCGAAACAATCTGGACAGTCCCCTGGAACACTGCTAGTTACCTAGCTCAATGGCCATTCCCACCTGCCTCTTGCAACAGAGCCTGATTTTATGAGTGCAGACACACACCCTAGTTAAGACTACTCTTCAGTCTTGCTTGCAGTGCCCTGCAGGTGACTTGTATTTTGTTTCCTACTTCCTAGGCTAAAACTACCGCACTCCCCTTAGCTATGCCATCCTGAATGCCACTGCCCATTTTAAATTAAACTGGCAGATTAAATTAGATGTACAAACACAAAGAACTGTATTGTATTTCTTGGCTCATCCAGAGTGGTGTTTTGCCTTTGTAGCTCCTGGGCCACACACGGTCGCACTTAGCTTGCAAGCAGGAAGAGCCACAGGACTGCGCTCTGGCCAGCAGAGCTCGGCAGCGGCAGCGGCAGGAGCTGGTGAGGTTGCTCACAGGGAGCTGGCTCCAGGGAAGCCAGGCAGGAGGTCGGGAGCCCACTCTCCAAGACACCACAGAACAACCTCCCCGAACCCTGCCTGCCTCTTTCTTTGGCAGGATGGAGAAACACAACTCTATCTAAGTGCAGCCATTGGTTTTTGCATTTATCCGTTATCGGCGGCCACAACTAACCTTAACTGATACACATGCCCATTGCATAAATATAGATATAAATTCAGGACAGATGAAACAACTAACCTTAAAAATAAACCATACAAGTAATAGCAGAAAATACAATTTTGAAAGCTTGTGGTGGAGGAGTTCTAAGCGTCACAGGAATCCTAGAGGCCAGAAGGAAAAGACAGACAGAGCAGATTTGTCTACCTTAAACATAGTATTTCTGTTTCGCAAAAGTCACTGCATTATGACAAACAACAGAGTTCGTGTATCTTAACCTAGTTTCCCAAGGGTGTGAAACTGCAGTTCTTATAAACAGCTGGCAAAGGGTAAAATGACACAAACTTTTTGAAGGGCAATGTGACAATATCTACCAAAATTTTTAAATTCTGCCTTTATGAATTATTATTGCGATACATGAAATACAGAGGAACGTAAAGATTCATATAGAAGCATGTCCACTGGCGTGTGGGTTATAACAGTAAACAGTGGGGGGGAAAGCCTTATGTCCAGAGAGGAAAACGGTTACAAAAGAACAAGAACCACCATACCGTGTAGTTAAAAAGAATAAAAACTGCAGCGCTGTTTCTAATAAAGAAAAACTGGGGGAATTCGCTGGCTGGTCCAGTGCCTAGGACTCCTGGGGCCTGCAGTTCAATCCCCTCCCTCATCGGGGAACTAAGATCCCGCAAGCTGCACAGTGAGGCCAAAAATTAAAAAAAAAAAAAAGAAAGACAAAATGGAAAGCTATCCAGCAACAGACGGATGATTCAATATCAAAAGTCTAGACTACTATGCGACATCTTTAAAACTTAAAATAAAAAAAGATGCAGGTCCACACCAATACACTCTTCAGTAAAAAGAGAAAGCTGAAAATGAGAGGTATGCCATGATCCAATTGAGGTAAAGAAAAGTTACACCACCACAGAGGAAAATACAGAAGTCTTATCTTTTTCATGTGTACACAGACGTGTGACCCACTGAAAAAGATCTGGAGAAACACAGCAACATAAAACATGCGTTACCCAGGGGCAGAGGAGAATGAGGTGGGAACCAAGATGGATGTTTACTACAAACGATGTACTACCGGTCAACGTTCTGTATATTACTTAAAAACTTTCAAGATAAAAGAAATAAAGGAAAACAAACTGAAGCATTACTTAATCTAAAGCAAACTCCTTCAAAAGAGGGGCCCAATTAATTAAAAAAAAATCCCAAATATATGAAAAATTACAAAGGAACAACAGGATTTTAAACCTGGAGAAAACTACATACCCAATATACTCTTTAAAAATCTTAATAAAGCATAAGATTTTCTGGAAGAAAATATCAACAAAGTCTACGCTGATAGAGGTAAAAAAAAATGATTATAATCTAAATTAACTAAAACGCTATGTAAAGGGAAAAAAAAAAACCCTTTCCACAATTTATTCACCTACTTTGTAATTTCCATCGTATGGAGTGTCACTTACAGGTGGGGGAAAGATTCTCCCGTTTCTCCTTCATCTCCTGCAGTCTCTTCTCCATTGCACTGTGGTGGCCACTGCAGATTTTAACTGTGGGACTGTACACCAAGGAGCCATTAGATTCAAACAAGAGAACAGGAACATCATTATCTGAAAAGAAACAAAAATCCAGTTTTAATCTCAAAAAAATGCCTTCCTCCTTCAACAATATGATTCCTCTTAAGGACACCCCTGTCCCCTACTCCATGGGTTCCTCTTCCCTTTTTTGTTTTTTCTTTTTTTTTTTTTGCGGTACGCGGGCCTCCCACCACTGCGGCCTCCCCCGCCGCGGAACACAGGCCCCGGACACACAGGCCCAGCGGCCACGGCTCACGGGCTCAGCCGCTCCGCAGCACGTGGGATCCTCCCGGACCGGGGCACGAACCCGTGTCCCCTGCATCGACAGGCGGACTCCCAACCACTGCGCCACCAGGGAAGCCCTCCTCCTGCCCTCCTTTCGACAGACACACACATAGACCCGCACGTGAACTCGGCGGCAGGAAGGAGGTCAGGGGATCCTTGGGCCGTGAAGTAAGGGGCTCAGTGGTGGGGTGAACAGTGGTGTGCTTCCTGGAATCCACACCTTGCAGGTAATGAAAGAACTTTAGGACCCTGACCACCTGTCCCCCCCGCCCCCTTAAAAAACAAACCACAAATCATTCAATAGCCTCTCCTTTGCAACTCTTAGGCCTGCACAACTTTTACTGCACTTCTGGCAATATGCAGACATACGTTAGTTGAATCTTTAATACCTTATAGTTGTAGTTTTTAAAAGACAATTCAGACATAAATTTGGTCTAAAAAGAGAACTTTTTTAAATCTATCATTACCATTTTGCTGAATTCTTTCCAAATACACTATCACTGGTGCAGGAAAGATGGCCAAATGGCAGAGGTATGAAGGCTGACAGCAGAGAGGGGCAGAGCTGAGGTGAGGCTGCAGGACAGGCAGATCAGATAGGACGTGGTCGGCTGCAGGACACGTGAAGTACAGGATTTTACCCTAAGTATCTTTTCCTTAGGACGACACTGAGGACCGTTAAAGCCCGGGTGGGGCGGCCACGTGAGCTCGGACGTACACCCTTCTGACTGAAGCAGGGAGGTGGAGGCTAAGGACACAGCGGCTGGAAGGCCAGCCAAGGAGCTGCCGGACACCCACATGGGGTGCTGCAGGCTTGGGAGAAGAGGGCAGAGGAGGAGTTGGGAGACCACTTCAGAGCAGGTCTGGGGTCCAGGCGGGTGACAGGCACCAGGGCGGACAGATGCCAAGGAGAACTCCACGTCTGTCTGGGGCAGCAGACCAGACGGTCATGTGGGATTTGTCAGGGAGGCACCAGCACAGCACTGAGAGACTCGACTCATCAAGCAGTGGGATGACCGAGCGCAAGAACAAAGGATTCAGCCAATGTTCTGGAAAGGCATCGTGCGGCACTGCGCAGGCTAAAGGTTCTGCTCAGTTCTGTTGCTGCAGAAGTACAGACACAAGCACCGGGGACTGACCTGCATTTCTCAGCTTACCCGCAGTGGTTTTCTGCTGCTGCAGCTCTTTAGCCATTTTCTCAAACTTCTTTTGCAGTCTTTTATCATTTTCTGGTGTTTTAGGAATAAAATCTTTGGGCTGCATACACTTGCGCTGTACAAAAAGGACATAAAAATAATACTGTATTGCGATTGTGTAAGACAGGAAAAGAACCCTTCCATACACATTCCTGATATCTTTTGTAACATCCATAATACAATCTACTTAAAGAGATATTTCTCCACCATATGTGAATTTGTAATGTTTATTCTTCCTATAACTGTAAGAATATGGACAGAATTTTCAGACTGAATAAAGAGCTACACACTAAGTAGCTATGTTTTCTGAGGCATTTTCAGGACCCCAGCATTCTTAGTTTCCATGAAGATTCTTAAACAAAATTAGTCTCCTTTTCCTTATTTTTTGCTACTTTTATGTCTATCTCCCCCCTCCCTAAAAAGTCATGACACAGTAATAAAACACGAAAGTAATTATTTTATAACCACCAAAGAAGAGAACCATAATTTAATCTTGTCTTACTGTCTTTACATCACAGCAACTCCATTCAGCCAGTAAAAAACAAAACCTGTGACCACACGTCCAAAGTGTAGGGAATGAGGAAACCTCGGACACGTGATGTCCGGGTCACCGTCTCACCCTACCGTCCTCATGTCTCCTAGCACTTTTTACACCGCAGGCCCCCAGGTCCCCTGCGGAAGAGCCCATTTGGGCAGGCTGCCACCGTAAATACAAAAGCTGAGCTTGACACCGACTTCACCTACAGTTACTCCTACACCCGAGGGTCTCTGAAGGACGCTAGGGAAGCGTGTCTTCTGTCCAGGCCTCTTTAGGCGTCCAGCCCAAGTGTGTTCACATGCGTCCCGGTCTAAAGGAAGAACTTCTTAGCCATTCAAGGCTGCTGCTACACTGGGCTCTTGTTCAGCACCCTGCTCTATCTGTTAGTAATGCACTCATTCATCATTTAACAAAAATGTTACTGTGTGTCAGTCACTGGTCTTGAAACAAAGAAAGATCCCGGCATCAGGGAGCTTATACTCTATGAAGGAGTGACAGAAAATACACATGACAAATAAGTAAACTACATCGTGTGTGTGTGTCAGGAGGATTAGTTCCAGCAGGCCTGGAGCTGGCCTGAACTGTTTTTGCCGAAGTACCTGGAAAGCATGCAAGGCACTAATTTAACAGTGTTGCTTTGTAACTATGGGCCCCTGGTGCTCGGGGCGTTTCTACCCCCAAAGCTCGTGAACACTGCCCATTACCAGTGGGAGGGCCCCGTCTCTGGCAGAGGTAATGCAGTTAGAACAGGGGCAGGGGACCAGCATGCGCTCTGTGGACTCGGGAGCACTGCCACGCGGGGTTCTGGGGTCTTCGCGAGAGTCTGGCTGCCCGCACTTCTGCAGTATGTTACCAAGGGGCAAGTACTACAATAAGGAAAAAGCAGGCCGGGGGCTCAGGATGGCTGGCATGGTGGGAAGGACCTGCCACTGTAGACAGGGGAGTGAACCACCGCTTAGTGAGAAAGGACCAGCAGTACAAAGCCCTATGGAAGTCAGAGAACCATCTGTGGATGGATGGGGGGAAGTGTGTTCCAGACAGAGGGACAGGCAATGCAATGGCTCTAAAACACAAACAAACGTGGTATGTTTGAAGAACAGCAAGCAAGAGGGTCAGGCTGGCAGCAGAGTGAGGGGAGCGAAGCAGAGACCCTCCCCAAAGACCAAAAGAATAAGGTCTGGAGTCAGGTTTAATCTGCAACTGCATTTGGAGAAAGGAAGGAAAGGGAATGCTTGTAGGGACTAATAAAACCTTAAGTGGTGAAGGGTACGAGCAGACATTATTAGTACTTCAGATTAGGAAAAATTTAAAAGATGACTAACATCCAGCATTGGTCAGTGTTAAGAAAAAGTACCCTTGTACACTGCTGGTGGAAATGTAAGTCCCTTTCTAGATATTCCGCTTGGAGAAATAAACTCAAACACGTCACACAAACAACACACTTCGTAAAAATCGCCCATGATCTAAGGGTGCATGAATCCAAGACACATTCACGCTGTTTAACACAAAGTAGAAGGAAGTGGAGCCATGTACACACACTGACATGAAAACACACGGTTAAGTGAAGAAGAAAAAGCAACCCACCAAATAGTACACGTAGTAGAACCTCGTTCACTCAAAGCACATGTACTGAAGACCATCTGATCAGCAAGGACCCAAGTCAAACCGAAAAGTGCTTATTTTGAGGGAAGGGAAATTAGGAACGATATGTCTGATCTGTGTTCACTCAACGTACTACCAGCTGCCGCTGGTCTATCACAGAGTCATGAGACGCTCCATCTCACTACCGTCTGACACAATCTGGATGGAGACAAGTGAGTTTCCATCACTGCACGGGTGCGTTCCAGCTTGTCTGAGATGAAATGTGATGGAGACACAGGATTTACTATTTCAGAAAACTTGGAGACATCCATGGGAATGTCTTCCCTAATCTACAGCTCTCCTCTGCCTCACTCAGTGTGGAGAAAGTCTGTAAATCTTCTCTCCAACAGGGATTCTCACATGACAACAAAGTGACTGATGTCACAGCGAACAGTTTACCCTCAGATACAGAAATCAATTAAAACTTTTAAATAATAAAAAACCAAAAGGGTTGTGGTTCAAACGTGAACCAGACCTCAGAGGAAAGCAGCATCTTTATATTTGCACAGATTTTCTGTAATAAATAACTGTGTACACTTAGCTATTTCTGTCTCAGACTTTTGAGATTTTCCAGCCAAACAGATCAAATGTATTTTACTACAGATGTTAAGAACCTGAATCCTGAAGTAGTTACCAGAGCACCTGAAAGGGTGCTAGTTTCTTGGCAACTTTTAGTTCTCCTTTGGGCAAACAGTCTCTTCCATTTATCACAAACTACATCAAAGCATTCATGGGATAAAGTAAGCTCTATAACTCATTAAAAAATGCTGTGTGAGAAGAATAATACAATCAATAGCAATATTAAGACAACTCTTGAATATATTTCTAAAATTTTTTTTTTCTAGGAAGAAAAAAATGAATAAATTGATGACTGCCAGAGTCCACACTGAAGTCCCGTACTTACTTTTTTTTTCATTAGGCTTGGTAGGTGCTCATTGGGATTAGCTGCAGGGAACAGCGATTCATCGATGTGCACTCCAGCTGTCCTGCATCTGTGTGATCAAAGCGAACGGTCATGAGCATGTTCTATTAGAGTCACACAACATTAAATCTGCACACGTGTCAGTTAGCAATGAAAGAAATCCCTACACAGGTCATTCTAATAGACATGTCCTTTAACATAAGTACATTTATTACCAAACACAAAAGGCAATACAAATTCAATTTTCCAAAACCTTCTCTATTTGTTGTTTTTAAGTGTAAGAGCAGAAGAGAAGTGAGAGGCAGGTACAGGAAGTACAATTTTTATGCAATAATTTGAGACCTGCAACACTCCAAAATGATCACTGTGTGGCACTCATAAAGCACATGCTATTAAATGCACAATTTAAGAGTAAACAGGCCATAAAATGAATAATCTAGAGCTAGAAGGGTCCTAAAGAAATTGAAGCCAGAAAGCTTATCTATCCTCCAAAACCAAGTTCTCCTTCCTGTGTGTTTCTGTCAAGGCACCACCATCACCTGGAGACCTAGCTCTGCGGTCCCAGCTACCCTGAGCTGTACCTCCTGCTTCCACAGCCCGTCTGTCCTCACATGTGCCATTTCCCCTCCTGCATCACCCTTCACCTCCCTACCTGCCTTGGGAGTCCCTCGACCATTACCCACTCCTAAGCATTCAGCTGCTCAAATCTAAACAATTACAATGATTTTCTAAATGATCTCCTTCGCTATGGTTTCTCCTCTTCTGATTGATTCATATAATACTGAAACATTAATCTTAAAACATTTTATTCATCTCTCCATAACCCAGATCAATCACTCCCATGTTTACAAAATCATGTCACCAATCTAAGTCTTTTTAAAATAAGGCCACTAACCCCATCTCCAACTATATTTCATTAGACTATTACTGTTCAACATTTAGTACACAAATAATAGCTGAAAATATAATAAAATACAGTGCAATAAAAAAAGAATGAGGCAAATCTATCCCTAATGATACAGAAAGGTCTCTAAAATAGGAATGAAATGTGCATGCGTAGGGTACTGTGCAGCGAAGTATTTCTCACTCTAAGTCCGGAAGGTGACACACCAAAATGTCAGCAGCACTCATCAGCCGTGACTCTCAAAGTGTGAGCAGAGAAGACGGCTGACGTGAGTCAGGACTACTGCCGTCATGACAAGGAGGCATTCCCGGCCTGCCCACTCCTCACCCTCAAGAGCACACGGCGGAGCTGAAGCGAAATGACATGAGTCATCCCCACACACCAGATGCAGAAGCAGATATCAGAAGATATTAGAAGGCAACTGTCTTCTATTAAGCCAGACGTGAAAGAAATTTTCAAAAATGTAAAAAAAAAAAAGAAGGCAGCACAATTATTAGGACAAGAGAAGAACAGCAAGGTGGAGCAGAAGCCAGACGGCACAGGTGACAGGACAGGGTCAGGAAAGGCTGCAGGTCAGAGGCCACCACCAGGCTGAACCGGATGAGGATGCAGACTTGGGAGGACGCAGGTCTTCTGTCTGGAGGAAGAGCAGAGACAAAAGCACAGCGAAGTGAAGAGGGTGATAATTTCGGGAAAACATCCAGCATTCGGCGTGAGTGAAGTGAATGAACAGGAGTCAGGAGACCAGTGACAAAGATGACACCCTTGTCCTGAGGGCTCCAGGGCCCGAGAAGGTGTCAGGGGCCCTGGACAGGTCCCTCTGAGGGACAAGTTCCAGAACAGGGTCACCAAGACCAGCCAGGGCTAGTGGGGTAGGAGACGCCAAAGATTTCAGCAAGGCTGTGGGGCTGGGCTGGGGACCCGTAACCGAGCAACGCTTAGGAGTAAGAACAGCGCACACCTGGCCTCTGGTTAGAGCTGATGGGCTGAGCACATGTCTCTCTCCTCCGCCCGCCAAACCCCAATCAAATGACAGTAAAGGAAAACAGAAGGACACAAACCAACAGAAGTAAAGAGCAGGTAAGAGAGAATCTGGGGGATTGAAGAACAAACAGGAAACCCCAGCCTTGCAGCTGGGGGCAGTGGGTCGACCAGAAGGGTCCGGATTCCTCTCCTCGCACCTCAAGGGAGGCCAGGGTAGGTCTGAAGAGCAGCAGCTCTACTCCTAACTGCTGCACCCCACTCGCTCCTCCAGCAGAGCAGAGGTGATGGGTTCTGTCCTCAGACGCCGTGGACCGAAGACACACTGGACTAAGGACACCAGGCCCAGCTCCGGTGGGACAAAGACGTGCAGGAAACAAAATGTATTTGTGGTGCATCTTCAGATTCAGCTAAAAACCACTTTCACAGTCATAATAACGTCAATAAAACTACTGATTTAATTGAATGCGTACACTGGAATAATGAGAGGATTAAGAATCATGGGGGGGGTGGAGAGTATGTGCACGCGGTAAATGCATGTACATGGGGACGTCGGGGTGTGTCCCCCAAAGGCAGCTAGTTGGAAAGCTAGCCTCACCTCCACACCAAAAAGTCATTAGACAACATCAAAACGAACATCAAGGCAGCAGTGGAGCCACAGTAATGAGGAATCCGGAGGTAAGTCAGAGCTCTAGAAAGAGCTGCAGGAGTGGAAAGGTGATGCCTCCAGAGAACAGGAGCTGGGGATTAAAAGGGACTAGTGTTTTTGCTGTAAGCCTCGTAAGACGAGCTGGTTTTCCTCTCTGCGGTGTGTGTGGGACCCTGCTCTCTCTTCCTAACAGGACAGCAATGGGAAACGAAGCATCCTGATTCAAAGGCAGGACAACGGCACCACAGACCAAGACGGAAGATGGAGTTTAGAAGCGGTTAGGAATGAGTTCAGTTCTGGACGTATTTAAACCCAGATGACTCATCCAAGCAAATCCATCTAGCAGGCAACCCCTTACGTAGCTCTGACGCTTAGGGGATGTACTAGGATAAAGACAGATGTGGGTAAAATTCTAATCCCTCACCCAGGTCCTGAAGGAGCAGGTCTCTGTCCCAAAGCTTCCTTTTCTCACTAGACTCCAGGCACTGACCCTCCGGCGTTGTCCTGCCTCGGGCTGGACCTTCTGCTCCCAGGACACAGTCCCCCAGTTCAGGGAAAGACTAGCTCCTTTGCTGTCTTTTTTGCCTCAGCTCAAAGCTCCCCACTGACTCCAAAAGCCCCCCGGCCCCCCCAAAAGCACTCTGCCCAAGCAGGGCAACCCACCCCAGGGGGCCTCCTGTGCCCTCCAGGGCCTTACAAAACCTTTCTAGCACTTACAAAACTTGTCTTCCTCATTAAAAGTATGTTCCGGGAAGGCAGTAAATATGCCTGTCTACTTAGAGCTGTAACCCCAATGCCCGGCAGAGAGTAAGCACTCAAAAATATTTTCTGAATAATCAGTAATCTGTAGAAAGACAAACACTGTTGAGCTCTTTATCTTACACCATACGTGTACACAAACACCAAAAAGAAAAAGAACAAGAAAAAAAAAAAAAAGCTCAAAACAGATCACAGAACTAAACGCAAAAGCGAAACCTAAAGCTCCTAAAAGAAAACGCACGAAAAAATTCATGCTTCTGAAGCAGGCAAAGATATTCAGAGAGGATGTCAAACATAAAGCACAAAAGAAGAAAACGAAAAACTGGACTTCAACAAAACAGAAAATTTGTATAGTTTGAAAGACACAATAAAGAAAACAAAAGTCTCAGACTGAGAGAAAATAATTACAATATGTGAATCTGCCCAAAGAAATTAGTATGTACAGTATATACAAAAATCACATACAACTCAATATTAAGAAGACAAAAACCCAATTTAAAAAAACATGGGCAAAGGATTTAAACCAAAGACAATACACAAAGATTCACTAAGCACATTATCTTATGCTCAGCACTCGACATCAGGAAAATATAATTAAAACCAGATGAGATCCTCACATTTATGGTTAACTGATTTTTGACAAGAGAGTCAAGACAAGTCCCTGGGGAAAGAACAACGGAAGTCTTTTCAACAGATGGGGCTGGGACAACTGTGGGACAACCACACGAGAAAGAAGACATCAGACCCCGACCTCACACCGTACACAAAACTAACTCAAGATGGACAAAACCCTCAATGTAAGAGCCGAAACTATACAATTCTTCGAAAAGAGATAGTAAATCTTTGTGATCTTGGATCTGGTAATAGTTTCTTAAATGATACCAAAGCACCAAGAAACAAACAAAAATAAATAAACTGGACTTCATCAAAATTAAAATCTTTTTGCTTCAAAGGAAACTGTAAAGGAAGTGTAAAGACAACCCACAGAATGGAAGAAAATATTTGCATATCGTATACAATATGGATATATGTGAGACAGCCATACAACGGAACACTATTCGATCATAAGCAATGAAACTCTGACACAGGCTACAGTATGGATGGATCTTGAAAACATTAGGTCATGAGAAAAAAGCCAGGCCCAAAGCTCACATACTGTATGATTCTGTTTACATGAAACATCCAGAACAGGCAAATCCACGGGGACAGAAAGGAGACCAGGGCTACTCTGGGCTGGGCAGCACAGAGGGATCAGTGATGCAAAGGTTTTCTTCTGAGGTGATGAGAATGCTTTCAGCTGATTGTGGTCGTAGCTGCACAGCTCTGTGACTATATTAAAAACCACTCAACTGTACACTGGCTGAATTTTATCCCAAAAAACTGCTACAAAAAATAAAAAACCACATGAATACCACTACACAGCCACTAGAAAAGCTAAAATTAAAGACTGACAAACTGCAAGTGCTGGTGAAGACTCGTGCCCTGATCGTAGGAACGTGAAGTGACACAACCGCCTTGGAAAACAGTGTGGGTAACGACCCAGGAGCATGAAGATATACAAGGTCACACACACGACTGTTCATGGAACTTTACTGGTAACAACCAAACATTGAAAACTACCCAAACGTCCATTAACAGGTGAATGGGTAAACAAACTGGTATATCCATGCACTAGAATACTATTCTGCTATAAAAGAAATGAAATTATTGACGGGGGGACGATGGATAAATCATGGATAAATCTCAGCACGGATAAATCTCAAAAACATCACGTTAA